GTTATTGCAGGGGAGTTGGATCAGACCACCTTTAAAGGTTGCTTCCAATTCTACTGATTCTGTGACTTTACAAAAGTTGGAGTGCTGTAACTGCAGACTGCACAAAGTGAGGCTGTAGCCTGTATCTGGCTTACAGGGCTCAGCTGAGCTCCTACAACAGGCTTACTTCTCAGGGAACAGCCACATTTAATTATCTTCCTTAGCCTTTCTTCCATCTGCTCCTGGAGTTCTAGGTTGAGCTCTGCTGCAGGAATGTGCTCGTCTGCAGAAGCACTCAGGACTGTTTTGCAATGCTGCTTATTTCAAAGGTAGTCAGAATTCGCCAGGTTGGGCTTAAAGGAAACTGTATATTACAGATGGGCCTCCTGCCCTACTCCTGAGCCAAATTAAAGAAAGACACACGGAACTTACAAGCTTTAATCAAACATTTATTATGAGAGAAACAACGCAGACTCAGAGCACGTCCACGTTGTCTTTGGCAGGCAGAGGCAAGCAAGCTTTGTCCCAGTTTTGAATCACAGCCCAAACTCTTCCCCAACCACACAGGGTCATGCTGGTGCAGCACGGAGCTGGATGAGCACACCTTGCCTCCCGACAGGGCTCGGCAGCAGCACTGCACTGACGACAGCTGCACAGCTTCCAGCTCAAGGCTGACTCATGTCTGCTTGGCTCCCAGCACCGGCAGTGCAAGCGCACATTTTCCTGCTCTCCTCGCCCAGCTTTCTGGCCCCCAGGGCCCCAGAAGGAGAGACAGAAAATGCTGCAGCCACACAGCAGGGTAGTGGAAAATGCTTCATTGTCGTCACAGTTTTGGGCCTGGGACAGGACTCACTCCTATCTCTCTTAAACTATTTGCTTCAAAGCTTAAGCAACCTCATGACTGACTTTCCTAACCTCTTTATCTGCAGCCATGCAACCCACTGGTTGAGAAACACGGAAGTAAGCCCCGTACAAACACCCAGAGAGAGACAGTGACTGTCAGTGCAAATGAAACATTCTCTTGGGAAGACCTTTCTGTGGGCTAGAAATCATACCAGCACAGTGACCCAACAGAAGTGAGGAACTTCATTCTGCATGGATTTCTGTCTCTTGTTCTACAGTCACAGAACTGTAGGGGTTAGAAGGGACCTCTGGAGATCATTTAGTCCAACTCCTTGCTAATGCAGGTTCACCTACATAAGTAGTAACAGCATTGACCCTTTAAAACTATTATAAAAACACATTTTTTAGAATCATCTGCAGTGTGGAAATGTCACATCTGAGATCCTTTGCAAAGCTCAAGGCTGCACAAATAAACTGGAAATCACACTTTTTTTTTTTTTTTTGTCTTTAAAAGCACAGATTCAGCCCTGCTCTCAGCCATTGAGTTCCTATTAATTCCTGCGGTTTTATAAACACTGTCCAACTCTACAGCAGCCTTCCCGTCACTGCTGATGTGTGAAAGTCTGGCCAGCCCAGCAGGGGCTCTGAGAAAGGAGCAGCAAAGCTCGGGAGGCATCAAGCGCAGCCCAGCACGGGAAGGGGGCTGGGAGGGTCAGCGGCTGCCTGCAGAGCAGCACGGCACGCAGCTCACGCAGCCGGTACCAAGCAGTGCCAGGGAAGGAGGCCCTGGGAGAGCTGGCTGTCGGCTGGAGCAGAGGGCTGGGGACAGCCAGGGCCGACTGCCAGCACGGCTCCGGCAGCCGCTGAGCAGTGGCATGGGCACAGCCGGTGTGCACGTGCAGCTCACGCGGACTGAAGCCGGGTCTGTCCTGCATCTGTGTGCCAAGCTGAGGAATGGGGGGTCAGGGCGGCATGCTAAAGATGAACCTGTATCATGGTCCAGCTCAGTGAGGCCACAGTGAAGCCTACTGTGGTTAAACTACACGGTTACAGTTTCAGAGGGCTGCCAGGGCTTCTATATTTCCTCAGGTCTACCATTCTGAAGTTTCTGCCGGGTGCCAGTGCTGATCCACTTTCCAATGAGAGATGTGCTGAGCTGGTTTGCATCATTTTCTCCTGTCATACATGGTAGTCATTACATCAGCAAGCAGTTCACCACAGTGTCTCACCAGGTGTAAGCTCTCACATTACTCCAGCAGCTCTGAATACCTTTTGCTTTTCATCACCTGCCATTTCAAGCCAGTAGAATTATTTTTTCTTTTTTTTAATAGCAGTTCCCATCTTCATTTCAGCTTCCTGATCAGATTGTTCAGTAGACATTTATTTCCAGTTTTGCTCTGTGCTTTGTCTCCAACTGCTATGCACCAGTTCTGCTTTTGCTTGCAGACTACTTTACCTGCTAAGGTTTCATGTGCTGACACAGCTTTCTCAACTAGCATTTATCACTTGCTCTTTTTAACTCTGGCATTAACATTCAGTTTACTGAAACCAGTAGGTCGATAGAAAACATCAGCATGTAGCTAAAAATTGATATCTTTATCACACTGTGGTTACAATTGATTTATTTTCTTTATAATACTATCTTAGTACTATCAGAGATTGCTTTCTAGTAAATACTTTGGTCTGTATTGTTTTGCATCAGTGTGTCCAGATATTTCCCTTCTGACTTGTCAAGTTATGTTTCACATATGCGAGATGCAAGAGTTGTTTTCTCCTGTGAGTAATCAAATCTTGTAATATCTTGCCTAAGCGTGCAGAAGTTTTCTCAGCTTTTCAAAGAAAGCACTGAGAACCTTTCCATAGTTCTCCTTTTCAAACAACGTAGGCCTTTTAATCTATCAGCTATCCTCTTATTTCAATGGTTCTTCCTTCATTTCACTGGGGAATTTATTGGGGGAAAAGTTGAGATACTCTCATTGTAGCTAAAAGAGGAAAAAAGAAAGAGGGGATATGGAGGTGATGCTACCACCAGTCCAAGCAGTACCACCACACTTTTCTATGGCAGAGATCCTGCAGGGAACAACAGAAAGGCTCAAGGGCTTGTGCAGGACTTAAAGTGAGATTACATACTGAATTCATCACAGCTGATCTAGAAAAAGTCAGTGTTGAGATGAAGAGCAGGGGAACACTCCTCTTTGCTGTATTGCTCTTTCAAAGTCTTCACGTGTGCATTTGCATCGTGGTGTCACAATGTGCTGTATGAGAAACCATAAAAAACATGGGGAGATAATGCACTTCCTAACAGATCTCATCCCAAAAGCGACCTTGCTTGTACAAGCACTATTTTCTCCTGCTTTCTCCTACCGAGTTGCAGCTCTCAGCTGTTTCACAGCCCTCCCTACCGACTCACTCCCAGGCCCACTTTCTGCTCCCCAGCCCCCTCTTTCTCTCCATTTCTCTTCTCTCCCCGGGGCCGCAGAGCTTTTCGTTGCCCAACCTTCGGCCGCAGTTGCCGGTGCCGAGCGGCTGGAGCCAGGACGAGCTCACTCCCCCCCTCCTGGCTGCTGACAGGGCCGGGAAAGCAGCTGAGCGCTGGGGCTAAGCGCTTGCAGATGTGCCGCAGCACCAAGCCAGCGCAAGAGGCGTCCAAAGCGTTGGGCCGTTCGCTCCAGACGAAGGTCGGAGCTGCCGGGACACCGGGCTCCATCCTTCCCCGCCCGAGGGAAGCGGCCTGCCCGTCCTCCGCCTGCGAGGCTCAGACAGGAAATGCCACAGGCCTTGCTAATGGAGTCACGAGGCCTGGCACCCCGCGGGCTGCGGGGGCGGGAGGCGTCGCGGACTCTCAGCCCAGAGGGAAGCGGCGGCGCGGAGCGGCCCGGCGGGGGCGGCGCGGCCCGGGGGCGAAGCTCCTCCCAGAGCGAGGGCCCCGCGGGCTGCCGCCGGGCCAGGTCTCAACCTGTTCCCGCCGGAGCCCGTGGCCGGGAGCCCAGCCGCGCCGCGGGGCTTTGGCTGCCGTTTGAAATGGGGGCTCCGCCTCAGCCCCCGCCTCCCAGCCTCTCACGGCCGAGGGGAAGGGCCCGGCGCTGCGGCAACCGTGCAGCCTCCCGTGCGCGGCGCCTGAGGGGCGGGGGCGGCTGGGTGCCGCGGCGACGGCGCGACCAATCGCAAAGGCGAGCGCCGTCTGCGCTGTTCGGCGGTAGCCAATAGAGACCTGCGGCTGCGTCGTGGGCGTGGCCCGAGGCCAAAGCCCCGCCCCCGGCGGCAGGGCGGGGGCGGGGAGCGAGATCCTTTGTGGGCTTTGACAATAAGATGGCGGGCGAGGGGGGCGGGGCCGGGCGCTACGGTTGGCCACGCCCCTTCCCTCAAGCGCGGAGCGAGCGCCGAGGCGGGAGCCGGGCTCCTGCGCTGGGAGGCGACGGCGGCGGCAGTGGAGCGGTGAGCGGGGAAAGCCGAGCGGGGTGCGGGGCCGCGGCGCCGCCCGCTCTCCGTCCCGCGGGGCTGTACGCGGGGAGGGGGCGGGCGGGGGTCGGGGCCGGCGGAGCCCGCGGGGGAGGGAGCGGATCCAAAATGGCGGCGGGCGGTTCGCCGGGAGCGCGGGACGCCGACGAACGGGCGTCCGTCGGCCGCCGCGCACGCGGTTCCTCGGGAAGCGGGTGAGAGCCCCTGAGGGCCCTTCCCCGGCGGGGCCACCTCCTCCTCGGCCCCTTCCCTTCCTACGCCGCCCTCCCACCGTCGCGCGGTTCCTCGGGCCCTCCCCCGGCTCCCCCCGAGCGCACGCACCGATGCTCGGCCCCGCCTCGGCCCCCGCCGCGCTCCCTCCCTCGCCTGCGTGCGCCCGCGCTCGCTCCCCGCCCCGGGCACGCCTCCGCCGCCGCCTTCCCCGTCCCCGCCGCCCTGGCTCCCTTCCCGCAGCCCTCGCGTGCTGCCCCGGGGGCGTCCGGCCCCAGCGCCTTCCTCCTGCCTTTGTCTCGGGCCCGTCGGGGTGTTCCCCGCCCTGGGAGCCCACCCTGGATTCGGGCCCGAAAAGGAGTCGCTGCCTTTCCAGCTTCTCTTCGGATTTACGCGTCTTATGTCCGCTTCCTCCTAAAAGCGAACGGTGCCAGAATCACCTTCTTCTCTGTTAGCTCGACTGTTAGAAAATGCCTTGCTCTGAAGCAGCCGGTATGCCTTTTGCGGGGTGTTACCACCTCCATCTGAATGTGGTTCTGGAATGTGTAAGCTGATGCTCCAGCAAGAATTGGATCAGGTTTCAAGCACCTTATTTGTAAAGCAGGCTGGGAGTTTGTCACAAACTCAAAAGCAGCATTTTTTGTGAATGACATAGCACTGTGTTTCCTGCACTACTATTCCAGCAAACAAAAAGCCACGCAGCTCCCCCTTTTTTCATACTTAGTTACCCTACAAATAGACGTTGTCTCCTTGACAACTTCTTTCCTACAGCTGTTTCAAACAACAGTTAAGGTTTTGGCACAGTAGGTTTCGACTTGTGAGGTAGCAGCAGCAGAAGGGAGATGATAGGATACAGCCAGTCCAGATATTGCCTCTTGAATAGAGGCAAATCCTGCCTGAAAGCGGGGGGGGACTTGGAACACCTTGCATCCAGAGCAGCAGCAATCCTGTGGGCATGTACCAGGAGGTTTTATGTAACAGCTGATACCTTTTTGAGTACATTAATATGTAAATCAATTGAGAAGCATACTTAGCATTTTAATTAATTCGATTTTAAGGTTAGCATTCTCCTGAGATGAGTACTTGTTGGAGATGGTGCAGAAAAGTCAGGGGGCGGCTGTTTATGTGCAAGGTTTTAATTGAATTTGATTGTGGCTATTAAGGTTAAAAAATTACTAAGAACTTAGGTTCTGAGGCACACTCATTGGACAGGGAAGAGAATCTGAAGAAATAGTTGCTATGATGGACAAGTTCTTCAGTACATTTATGCTAGCAGAGGTCTGTGTGGTTTGTTTATTGCTGTAGGCAAGAACGTAGAATCACATGTAGCAGGTCTTACTAACACATTGCATGGGAAAACTGTGTCCTTCTTTTAATTTGCTAAAGTCACAGGCTAGACTGATCTGCCAGCATCCCTGGTGTTCTTTCATTTGTGGATGTCACAGTGGTTTTTCTCCAGGTGTTCTCATCAAGGGTCCCCTCCCATATCATTCCAGCAGGCAAACGGCCATGCTCTCTTCCTCTAAAACTGTCTAATATCCAAAATAGCACTAGAAAATCTTTTCATTTATTGTTCTCATGACTGTAGCATCTCTACCTGCAGTTGCATTTTTGTTTGTTTATTTTGCATGGGAAAAGCTTTGTCCTTGTCACTTACCCAAAGCATCTGTTCAGAGATTCAAATGGTTACTGTGTGGAGAGCCTGCATTTCATTTACAGAATGGGCTGAGAATATACCCAGGGAGCAAAAGCTTCAGAACTTCTATAGCATTATGAGGTGATTGATAGAAATGAGGAATAGTGACTAGATGCTGTGATGTCTCACTGGAGCTGTAGTTCAGGTGCCTCACCACCATCTCTCGAACTCTGCTGTTAACTCAGTCTGTAAGAGAATGAGTTGGCTGAAATAGTTTTTGTGATGTGACAGTGCTTGAGTCGTATTATTTTGGGGTTGTGTCAAAAGATTTGTGGCGGCTTTTTTAATCCAATATTTTAGTATGCAACCCCTGGAGAAAAACCGATGGCTTTCTGCCAAAAAAAAAAAAAAAAAAGGCCTTTGTCAACTATCTCTTCCCCTCTCCCCTGTTTCAAAAACAAGTGCTTTTTCAACAATTTTAATTACCAGCCACAACAGAAAACAAAGGTGTACATATGCATCCAGTTAATTTACTTATTTTCTAGGTCAACTTCAGTTGCAGACACTGAACTGACTTGTACAGTCAGACATGTCTAGAACAGTAGCAGAATTGTATTCATGTTTTTTCCTATAAGGTATTTGTAGCCCATTAAAATGGCATTCTTTTTTGCTTTAGTTGTTAAAGGAATTCTTGTATGTATTTGATAGTTGTGTTTGGTATATTCGATCTTGTTTTGCCTCGAATATGTTTTGAAAACTCAGCCTTCCTAGCTAAAACAATTTCATTACTGTCATTACTTTCATTTTTGTCATTTTGCAAAGAAAATCTTAGTCATGAGGTTTCTGCGCTGCTGCTAAAGGAAAATCCTCCCCACCTTTGCTCTTTTGGTTTTATACTTGTGCATGCATATTCTTTTCCTGTAGATGCTGTGGAGATGTATGGTTCTGTACGACAAAGATGAAAACTGCAAGCTTTTGTGATAAACTTGTTTTCATTATGCCTTGCTACACATTTATGCTTTTCAGATGATGGCTAAAGATTTTGTTTGCTCTTTAAATGGCAAAGGCACAGGGATAAGGGGGAGGCTGGTCCAAAGGTCAGCGTAATAGCCCAGGACTTGGACTTAAATTGGCAGTTTCCTTCTCCTATCACAGATTCCTTGCATATTGTTCAGCAAATCACCTTTGTGTTTCAGTTGTAAATCGGGTTTTATAGTGTCACGGGAGTGCTGTGAGGATAGAGATGCTGAAGCAATTGAAAAAGTAGAGCTGTGTACGTTTTTGAAATGGGAAATGGTTTTGCTGTGCATCTCCTGTACTTGCCTGATGCCTTGCTTCCTGGTATTTGGTAGGTGCTGCCCTAACTGTTACTGTATGGACTCTTGGTCAGTAGCATGGGAGAAGAGGAAGGACTACATCAAGCACAATTACTGGTATGTAGCTTTTCCTCCTTACATGAAACAGCAATCTTTTAGTATTTTGCGCAGATTCAGAAACAAGATGACAAAGAACTGCTGTTTTTGTGATGTAAGGTACCTATTAGAAGTAAATATTATAATGGCAAAAGTGATTGAAAATTCCAGTGAATTCTGTGAAATGCTTTAGAATAAGAATTAAGAATTTTGTTGTTTTTTTTGTTGGTCTTATACCAACTTGCATGTGTGATGTACTGATGTTTTCAAGTTCTGTGCTACATTCATTAATTCCATTGGTGTGCCTTAGAAGGTATTTAATTGTCAAGCAGTAGATGGTTAAAAATCAGGTTAACATTCAATTACAGTTTTATTATTCTTTTACAAGAAAAGAAGTTGAAATGAACATAAATTTGAAACTCTGTGTGGAGCATTTAAAGTCTGATGACATAACCAACCCTGTATGATCATTAGGCACAAAAGGTGTTTCCTAGAGGTTGTTTCACACAGGGTGTGTATGTGTAAACATTGTAAATAACATTACATAAAAAATAATACAGGATATAACCAGATAAAAAGTTTTAATGCCTAAAGGTCTGGAAAAGGCACTATCAAGTAGGAACTCAGGTTGTTTTTTTTGTTTTTTTAAATTGGAAATAATACAGATATGTTGAGTTACAGGAAAAAACTTTAGAATGAAACTTGAAAAGCATTTAATAGACTGGTAGTCCGTATGTAGCTTTTTAGAAGCCTGTTAATCATGACCTTAAGACAAAGTTCACATGTTCTATACTGTATTCTGTGTGCATTGTGATTTTTAAAGAGCCTCCTCTGGAAGGAAGTCTTCAAGAGACAGCAAATTCAATAAAATGTTAATTTCTAGATACGGGCAGCAACGTGAGAAGTGTTGCACAGAGGTAGAGCAAATGTTTATGTAGCTTCTGTTCTAGCTTCACATTTTCAGAGTCGATAAGAGTGTAATGTACGATAAAAGGAGCAATGTAGTCTCACTTGGATGCATTTTTACTAAGGCTGAAAAAGCTGAAAGAGATCTCTCTGAAAACATGTGAACCATTCAGTAGCTACCAAAAAGCAAGGTAGAGATTAGGCTTTACCAAGAGAAGCAGAATAAACCATACTGCAGCAATAGCGGTTTGGTCTTATCAGCTTTGAGCTGAAAAATGTCATTCTATTTGAATCACAGTGTATAAAATTCCCAAAATGTTAGGTAAAGAACTCTGAGAAGACTTGAAAGGGACATAATAAAGGTGCATAAATATGAAGATTAGGTGCTGGCTTTTTTTTGCATCCTAACTTTTGTAAGACTAAGTGAAGCGACATCTATTGCATTTACAGTTACTGTGTTTGAAGAGGTCAGCTTACTACTTCACTTGTTTGGAACACTGCTATAAAAACCGGTGCAATTCAGATGACAATCTGGGAGCTGCTGCTTGAAATTCATATCTTGGTTAATTCTGCAGGTGATTTTTTAGAGGTAAATAATCAGAAGCCTGCATGTGCTCCAATCATTTTAGCTAGTGAACATAAAGTAAGAATACAAGAGTTTTTTAATAGTCAGTTGGGAAAGAAGTACAGAAGCCCATACAGAGGATGAGTCTGTCCTTATTGGAATTGCACAATTCATATTGCAACTGAGCTATTCATTTACTCACTTGACTAAGGGCACATGAAGGAATGCTTGAGTTATATGAACTGAATCTGTGTTACACCCCAAGTGACTAAACTTAACCTTTTCTAGTACACCGTCTGTGAGATATATCTTTCTTCTTTTTGTTACTACATTAGGCATATTGGTTTTCCACAGGGGTCATATATTTAAAAGATGGTGTGCCAGGTTGTATTTTTATTTCCAAAATTAGAGGTTAAGCATGCCAGTAGAAACTGAGGAGGAGCGAGGAGAAACTGCCTCTCCAGTAGGTGAAATACAAGTGTTGAGATGGTCGCTTCTGTGCAGAGCAGCGGCTCCTGACTTCCATCAAGTTTGGCATTTAATGGGAACCAGGAGCTGGGAGCCCCTGCCTCTCTCAGGTGCCTCTCTGCGAAGCCATGACTCATGGACCTGCTCACTCCTGGTTCCTGAGTGTCGTCTTTGGGACCCTGTCCATGTGTTCCTGACCCCTGTTGTACCACAATGGCCATTCTATAACCTGGTATGATAATTCTGATGTTTTTATCTTCAAAGAATTTGCTGTTTAGTTTTTCTGTTTCGGTTTACTTTTTTAGTCTTTTGTTTTTCTGTCTATTGAGCTGTTTATGTTGTACAATATTTTTTTTAATTATTTTTTTTTTTAACAGGACACAATGTTTATGCGAGGACTGAAAAGAAAATGTTTTGATGGCGAAGAAGATATTGAAGGAACTCTGGCTGGTATTAAGGCTATTCCTTCATATAATCTTCAGCGACAGTCACTTTTAGATATGTCCTTGGTTAAACTTCAGCTGTGTCACATGCTGGTCGAACCTAACCTTTGTCGTTCGGTACTTATAGCCAACACGGTACGCCAGATCCAAGAGGAAATGACCCAAGATGGGACTTGGCAGATGATAAATATGCAGAATACAGGCCAGGCATCCGTGGATCGCCTTGTTTCAACAGATATCCTCTGTCGCTCATCTAGGGAGCAAGCTGAGGGAAAGCATGTTCCAGGTTACAGTACTTTCAGTAAAGACTTTGAGGGTGACCAGGCACAAGATAGTTCAGAAACTATGTCAACAGCCTCTTCAGTGCAAGCTCTAAGAAACCTGCAAAGTAATGTGTGGGAAATGGAGAATTCACAAGAAAATAAAGGAAATTTTCAAAAATCATTAGATCAAATATTTGAGACACTGGAGAACAAAAGTCCTAATTCAGTTGAAGACCTGTTTTCAGAAGTTGACAATTCTTACTATGATCTTGATACTATGTTAACAGGCATGATGAGCAACACAAAAATGGGACACTGTGATGGGCTAGAACCGTTTCCTTCTCCAACAGCTACAACTTCTAGCTCTAATTGTAAATCTGATCTTAACGAGCTTGATCATATTGTAGAAATCCTTGTTGAATCCTGAAACTCCTTGTGTAGGAGATAAAGATCTGTTAATGGAAAAAAAGACTCAAGAAAGCTATTTCCACAGTTTGTTCTATCAAATCTGCACATGTATTTTACAAATATCTATATATTATATAGATATATATATTAAAAAAGCACTTCATATTGCAAAATAGCGTTAACTCCTGAAGTTAACCTGCAACTTGTAGTGTAATGATCCAATCTCTTGTCCACTGAACTGTAAGTAGATACGGTAAATGTTTTTAAGTATGTGGTCCAAGGCTTTCAAATTTGGGTTACTTCTACAAATTTGTTCTAGCCTTTGACAGAGGATATGCTTAGTGAGAAGGATTCTCTCATCCTTCTTTTTTTTTTTTATCGTTCTCCCACTGAAAACGGTAACAAACACAGTGAGAAGTTGGATAACTGGCTTCCCATTTTCCTCCAGTTTCCACTTTGCTACACCACATAACTCCTATAATATTTGCTGCTTCTGTTCTAAGTCGCTACATGGCTCTTAAAGAGCAGTATGCAATAGTTCCCATTATTCTAGCTAGCTTCTTCTGGTTTTTGCTACATTTTTTTACTTTAAAGATAGTTTTAAAGTGTTTATTGGTGTTTAGAATTTTCCAGGTATTTTCCTAAAATATATTTTTACTACAGATGTTGTGTCAGCTGCTAACTTAGCAACTTTTGATCATATCTGCAGTTGATGTATTTTTTGAAAGGTTTTCAAAAAGGGATTTTTTTTTTTTTACTGTGAGCTACCCGATGTAGTTCAGTAAAGTGTATGTAAATGTAAATATACAATTTTATACTTTACATTAAAATGTAAGAGCTGTTTTCATGATTCTGTTTTATAGAGTAGTACTTTACTAAATTGAGAATTGTACTATTATGCTTTTTATACCCCATATACTTGGTTGTCATTAGAGGAAGAGCTCTGATCCAACTAGAGACAATAACATTTAATTCATTTCAGACCGTATTTTTTCTTAACTACAAACCTAAATTACATAGGATTTTATTTATGTGTATTTATATGTAAATGTCATCAAGTGAATTGTTTGTCGCTGAAATCTACCATCAAATATTTGTTTATATGAGTTAACTATCTTGCACTAATTACTACAAAAAGTGTTACTAGCGGCCTTTAAATCTCAACTGGTATGTCTCCATGTTTTGTCATGATTAGTATGCTCCACTCTTAAATGAGTTTCCTCTTGCTTTTTTTTTTTTAAATAACAAAAGATAATACAACATGGGATGGTGTTCTTTTCTTCAAATACTCACATTCATGTGAGTGTACATAATGAAGTGTATTGTTATGAGACTTTTTCTGGGGTGGAGGGAAGAAGTGAGGGGAAGGATACAAAGTATATACACTGTATGATTTTGTTGCAAAGGATAAAATGTGGCAAGAGGCCTGACCGAGCAGCGAGGTAGGCAATGGGGAGAAGATTGTTTGATTTGTTTCTGGAATGTTTTAGCCAAGAGGAAGACATACACCACTTAGTCATTTTTCTGTAGATTTGAATCCAGCTAGTCACTGAATTTGAAGAGAATGCATTTCTGTACCTGTCAGCCTATACCTTCTTACAAGTGATCTTACTGCATACTGCCTTTTTCAGATTCTCAAACGTCCCCAAAGCAGAGAAGGTGAGGGCAGAAGGATGTGAAGGGTATTCTGGTGTCACCTCTGCAAGAATACACTGCTTAGGTTTTCAACAAGTGATTCAGAAGCATCTGGTTTGGGGGAAAAATGACATCACTTGCTAAATTATTCAGACTTGATAGCAGAATTCATATTAATCTTTACTTGCTGTAGTAGTCAAACATTGCTTCCTCAATTAAATCTTCATTAATAGCCATATTAAATACGAAACACCATATAGACACTTGGCAATTTCAATCTGTAATACAGCTGGACCTAAGAAACACAGAGTACTACTGGACATCTTAAACAATAGAGACGTCACCAATAACTGAAAGATGTGGTAGTATAATATTGTAGTCCAAGAGGGTACAAATATTGATGTAACTATCATATCTCCCAGGGAAAGAATAGTCTGTTTTATTTGTCAGTGTTACAGTATAGGAAATTACTTCTAAAATGATGAATCCTCAAGAAAATATGCTTGATGCTTTTCTATCTGTATAGACAGCAGATGCCTTAGAATAAAGTAGTCAGACTGCTTCAAAGTTTTAAAAATAGAACAGGAGTGATGAGTTGAATAAATGAATATCTTCCATACCTCTGGAAAGTTCCCCCAAACTGCTCTGAACTGTGGTGGTTCAAAGCTCCAAGTACTGCATAACTGTGGATGTACCCCGCTGTTCCTTTTCCCCTTCCGTTCTTTTGTTAAATGAGAAATTACAAGTTTAGATATTTAGTTTTTTTTCCCCTTTCCTCTTCAGTACGCTTCAGTCTTTGTGTATGAGGTGGGAATTGGTGTGAGAATCATGGCTTTTACACTGTGTGTGTCAAATACACACATATATGAATGATTGCACCAAACGTGTAGTCAGCTGCATTCCTCTGCTGGGGAGGCCATACTCAGCAAAGAGTAATCTGTAGAGACTGCTTGGCTTAACAGGAATGGTATTAGGTAAGTATGTGGTTATGTCGTTAACTATTTTAAACAGAAATATATATTCTGCTTTATTATGTTCTTAAGACTTATGCCAAATCTTATGTGCCCTTACATGTCTGATGTCTTGGCTCAAGCATTGAGCAGGTCTAAGAATTTGTGTTGCTGAAACTTGCACAGTCACTCTGCAGATGTGTACGTAGAGCTGCTCTGACTTTGCAAGTCAGTGTACAGTCAGCCTATTGCTTTTTGATATGCCTCAGACTAACTGCTGCTCGTTCTGTAGCTTCACTTCTTTTATAAAAAAGCTATTTTTATTTTCGTGCTCATATTGTCATTTCTTTGTTAGTCCAAATAGGTCATAGTTAAATATGCTTCACATAAAGGTTAATAAAATATTGTGCTCTGTATTCCTCCCTGATAAAGAAAGAGAGCAGGGATGACAGAGTGCCTGTAAGTTGGTGAACTTTAAATTGCTTTCTTTTTTGTGAATTCTTATTACAAATGTAATACTTGCTGATGGCAATTTTCTTAATTTCTACATATAGATGGAAATTAATTGAACCTCTGTTAAGGCTTCTTTAAGGTTCTCCTACCATTTCTTGTGGCCTCTTTCTTTTATTTCTCCCTAGGGAAAAGAGTCACAAAACTTGCATGACAGTTGTGCTGTCTCAAAGTAAGCTGTTTGTCTGAATGACATAACTCTGCTTTAGACTAGCATAAAAGAAAGTACTTCCTAGCTAACACACATCTGCTCCCTTCTCAGGTAACCCTGAATATCTGTCCCCGCTGCCTCTTTATATGTAGTTTTGTGTCTCCTCTTTCAAGAAAACCCAGGATATCGGAGCTTCTGGAGTCAGGGCATTCAGCAAGATGTGTGAGAATTGAGGCTGAGATGGCTTGCTTACCACTTTGCTATTTTTATTTCTTAACCCCTTTCTCTTCCACAGCTCTGTGAATTTATTTTGGAAAAGATTTGGTATAGTTCTCTGAATGTAGCCATGTTTGCATAAAGGACAAATCTGATAAACAAGGAGGGGATCGTTTATTTGGATGAAAACTGCCATTGCAGATTGTCTGAAAGGTACAGCAACAGCTGTGGATTTCATCCTTTAGCAGGTTAGGGACTCAGACAGGAGTTTGTGCACTCACTTGTGCTGGAGGCTGTCCTTTGGTCATTTCTTGAAGTCTCAGGTCTAGACTGGTTTAGCAGGCATTTCAAAAAGCATTACTGTAAACTGCTTGATAGTACAGTTTTATACTGTAATTATCAGTCCATTATGGATGTCTCATGTCTCAGGATATTGATGCGAGTGTATGACTGCTGATGTATGTTCCCATGTAACCAGACAAACTTGGTCAAAAGGCAGTGTGAAAAAAACATCCTGTCTTATGCTGACACTTTCAAAAGTGAGTTGCGTTCAGAGTGAAAGTATGCTTATGTCTCAGGCCTGGGATGTATAGTCCCTTATGCAAAAAAAACATGATTGATCATGACAAATTTTGATTGCTCATCAATTCCTAAATGAGTGTGATTTCACGGTATAGGAAACATGATTAATACTAAAAGTACCAAAACACCAACATATCTCCAATACTCCATAGCAATGAAGTGTACATCTTAAAAAATTCAACAGTAAGGTCTCGCAGGGTTTATTCCAGCTCCTTTAGTTATCTCTTACAAAACAACAATTTTTTTTTTCTATTTTTTTCAAGGAAGTTCCAAAAAGATCTGAAAATCACTGGATAGTTCAAGTTACCAAGGAAGATATATTTCAGTTGCATGTAGTGGCTTGACTTCTTTATATAGTCAGTGGAAAATAAGCAATATTTTGTCTGAATTGTAGCTTTTTTTTTTTTTTTTAAATACAATTATTCCTTTGCTTAACTAAGATTCTGCTAAAAATGAGTGCTTTATGACCTGAAAAATTATTGTGGTAAATGTTGATGCACGACCAACTTGTCAACGGGAAAATATATAGCTAGGGGCAGCTTTCCACTGCAGGGAAAACTGGCAGTAATTCCAGCTGTCATCTTTTTAGGGAAGAATAATTGAAGATACAGGTGATTACATGACTTCTTGCAAAAACAGAATTAAAAAGAAATTGTAAGAACATGTAGGCTGTACTTGGAAGTCCCCTAGGAGCATGTGGGAAGCAGCAAGTAAGTACTGCAGGAGTAAGTGTTACAACAAAGGAGCAGTGTATTGCAATTCTCATGTGCCCCTCACAGACAAGTTTTGGAGATCAAGAAAATGTAATTTCAGTCTCTGATTGTGCAAGCTTCCAAAACAAGACTCTAAGGAAGAGTGGCTTATATTGTTTAAAAAACACCAGAAGAGTTTAATACTCACAGGAGAAAAACAGCACTTAGAGCAAATTCACTTTTGTGCCCAGAAATGTTTGCTTCCGCGCCTCTGCTTTGCTTGAAAGGGAGAAGGCACTTCTAGCTGTTCTTTGTGGCAAAACAGAATCATGGTTTACTTAAAATCTTCAATAATGTGTAATGTGTGTTTGCAAGCACAACTTTCTACCGTTCTGCTTTTTTTTTTTTTTTTTTCTTTTTTGGACAGGCATTAAATATATGGTTAATTAGTAGCTCATAGAGGCGTAACCAACAGAAAGAGATGGTGAAACTCACGAGGCTTGGTGCACTCTTCTTCCTCGCTTTGCCGTGGAAGTACAGCACACCGTGATTGTTCTGCAATTCCCCTTCAATTAGCTCATTAATTGCAACCAGGTCTTGTAGTTGCCTCGTGGAGAAGTGTGCGGGTGAGAGAGACCAGAAGAAAACTATTGTGCTGACTCCAGTAACTGGGATAAGATAGAGCCATTTTTCAGTTTCCAGGCAGAAGACCAACTTCAATTAGAGCATTAGACGCAGGGTCAATTAATCACAGACGTAAATCCATAGGAAAGCAGTCTGCATCAGTTCCTGCCTTCTGGGGCTGTTACCAACTAGCAGCCTAGCGCTAAGGTAAGCGGGGGAGCGGAGCCCAGCGCTCCTTTCAGGCGTGTTACATACAGAACCCGGGTTTGGGGTGTGGTTTTTCTGCCTCCTGCAGAATTGAGTGTGAAAGCCACAACGCCGCTTGTGAGAGCAGCGTCCTGCCGTGTGCTGGGAGAGGAGTCAGACTGAAAGGCCGCGTTTGAATCATAAAAAATTCATGTTCTTAAGTCTTCTGTTTGCCTTTGGGTTTCAAGTAAAATGGGAGAGCGCAGAGGACTTGTAAGACGTGCTATCCCTAGAGAAAATACGGGCTTCTGTCAACGTTAGGTCGTGAATGGGGGTGGGGAATGGAAGGAGGCCCCGTGGCCCTGTGGGGTTGGCCTGGGCCGGGCCGTTGGGATTTCAGGTGGCCCTGCTGGGGCTGACGACGGCCCCAACCCATCGCTACGTGGAAGTCAGGTGTTGAAATCGGCCTTGCACAAGCGCCGTGCCGCTGTCACTTGATTACCCAAACGCTCACGGAGAGCAAATAGAAAAGGGCTGTGAGCGTGGCCAAAAAGCTCTCGTTTGTAAAGGGAGACAGAAATTGAAGTGAAAACGTGTTTCGCAGCGTTTGACGCAGCGTTATCAGCGGGCCGAGGCGGACGCAGCTGTGGGAGCCCCTCCTTTAAACAGGGCGATTTCGGTCAGCGACTTTATTTAATTGTACT